GTGGAAACAGAACAAAATTCTTTCCCATTAAAGTTGATGGGAATTCTTGCCATTAACTTTACTGGGGCAAAGCTTTATCTTATAACTGCTGGACAAAACTTAAGAGTCCACRAGTAATAATATTCCCTGAGATTCTCCAGTAAGGGAAAAATTAGGTCCAATTTGCTTCCAGARTGACTGGGACTGACAATGTGTTAGATTGGTTTAGAAAGCCAAGTCTTTATATTGTTCCACCTCTCCATCACCTTGAGCTCAGCCAAACCATTATATATATAAAGCTATTCTGCATTGAAACGTGTGGGTTTGGTCAGATTTCTGTGGGACATAGAYAGAAATGTCTCTGAAGCCCTGCAGATCACAAGCAGCCGTGTTACAACATCCTTTTCCCAGGGTGAAYTGCATGGGGAGTTAAATGGTTGGAGGTCTTAGAGGTGGGGATGTAGCAGTTATCTACATCAAACAGAGGGATCTTGCTGGCTTTAAGGCAGTAGCAGTCCCTTTTAAGCAGTAAAAACATCAGTTACCTTCCAGTAAGCCAAACTGGCAGGCTGAATATGCTCCTTTTACGTTATACTGAAATAATCAGACAAATTCTCTAACTTTTTTCTTTTCATGTAGCGCAAGTATTTTGCAAGTGACAAAATCAGCCACTAGCATTAGAATCGTCAATCATCATAAAGAATGACATATTTCGTACAGTTAAATGATCAACTAATTGGAACAGAAAGCAGCTTTCTCAATTCCTTTCCCAATGAAACAAGCAACTTAGCATCTGAAAATTACTAAATTTATTACTAGATATGCAAAGAACATGACTATCGGTCTTTATTAATATAGATTTTCCAATGCATACGCAGGAGTGAGAAAAAAAAAAATTGGAAACGTGAATGAAAGCTTGTAGTTATGCTGTCATCTAGCGGTGGTAAAGTAGAGCTGCTATACATCATAAGGCTGGATGAATCCATGGCGAATTCCAGGGAGAAAATGTAGGTTTGGGGGCCAGGAGCTGTTGGCTGAGGCTCACACAGCCAGGCTTGGCAGCTCTGCTGCAGTTTCACCAGTGATCGCCACTAGCTGGCAAAGGAAAGTTAGAGGCACCCTCAGGAATCACTCAMGTCACCGTGGGATTTTTTTACCTTCCAACAAAGGAGGTTCTTCGTCAAATCCATCAACATAACCGAGCTGGGAAAGAGCGTCGGCACTGCCCGTTGGCTGCAAAATCTGCCCCGTGTAGCTCTGAGGGGACAGAAGCATGTCTGACGGGACAAAAGCTCCGGCTGGAGATTGCTTTTCTGTCGGGCTCCTAGGACAAGAAGCAAAGCACAGCAAAACCCCATAACGGCAGTGAGAAACGTCTTAGAGCTTCTCACGGCGTGCCACCCATTTTTTACCTATTTTCAATTTGGGGAACCTGGAAATTTTCTGGGTRCAACCTCCGCAGTGGGTAGTGAGTGCTGAGCTGACCATGCCTTTGCTCCGTTCGCTGCAGCTTTCTCTGAAAGTGGGCAGAGCC